GCAGTGTGGTTTTCGTGTGTAGAGGTCATTAAAGCGTCGGACAGCGGAAGTTCAGATGTGTTTCTTTATCGACCGTCAATGGGGTCACGGAATCCGGCAGTAATAGTATCAGCCACCGAGAGGAAACATAACTGGCTTTCAGCTGATGACCTTACCACGTGAATGGTTAGTCATACTGACTCTCTCTCTCTCTAACTCCTCTCTTTATTAAGGTGTGTGGCTTTCTATGATAGAGTTTTGTAAGTTGATTCTCAGGACAGACCAGCTCCCCATTGGCAACCTTGAAGAAAGAGATAAAAACGCCAGTGAACATTACTCAGATTCCAGGCAATGGAATGAGGCTAACCTTTATTCCACAGTTGGTTAGTCAGAACTATTCCAGTATCTAAATGACTGGCTTTCATTAGACTTGCCCCGAAGGAAGTTGCTGTATAATTCCGAACAGTCATGGCAATATCTCGACATATCTCGACCTTCAAGCGTGCATTTTATCTGTCTCTCGTTGAGAAAACTCAGGTCAAATGTGGTTGATGTGACGGAGAAACGGGAGCTGAGAGGCTGTGTTGCCTGCAGTCAAACAACAGACAAGGAGCATGGTTTTATTCACAGGTCACACGTAGGTGTGAAGAAATCTAGGGTTATCGATCAAACACTGCCTGTTCGACGAACAACGGACATGGTTATTATCACTTCGCTTATTGAAAATGCTACAAACTACCCAAATACCAACTCTATTCTGTCTGATGTAAATAGCAGGTAGATTTCCAAATCTGACAACTTCTCTGATAGTCCACTGTCGGTTAGTACACTCAGCAAATGATGTAGGAATTGTAGAGCCTAGTCACTCGGGAGTAACTGAATTGGTCGAAGGGTAAGTCCATTTTGCTATAATAAGAGAAGAGCACTAAGCTTACTGGTTATCAATCCAAAGGGTGAAAATCAGCAACGAATCCCTTGTAGTTCGCGTCACAGACCCTATAGTAGAATATAGTTATGAGAAGAAACATGAAATAATAGAGTTTCATCCCAACACTTAGTGTAGTACTAACGTAACCGACAGGCTACCGGACAAAGGGGATAGCGGTTTTGAAGACGTGCTAACTCATAGTTACATGAGAGAGTGAAAGAGCTTCCAGACACGTTATGGGTCTTTCATAGTGACTCTGAAGAGTGGGCCAAGACAGAGCAGCGTTCACTGACGCTGACATTGGCAACCGCGTGACACTAAAAGCCGAGGTTTCCGATCGGTGCGGGAGCGGTGCGGAACGTGCAAGTGTTGTAACTCTCCAGTATGCAACTCTACTCATGAGAGAGCACCTTTTGGCTCACAGTGGTCTGATGAGAAAGACGAAAACACAAGCAGACCAATACGCAAGCTCGTGTTCACACCACCAACTTTCGAACAGTCGTCATTCTGCCCCGGTCCAATTATCCTCATAGATACGTACCAAGGTTGGAAAGCACTGTCTACTGGAGTTTCGTTCCTACTAGAACTCATCAACAGTGCATATTACTGGTCGTGGCGGTGTTCGAACTCCATACATCTGACACGCGAGGCGAGCGTGTTACTGATACTCCACCAACGGACGTCGCTGAGTTATCACGCCTGAGCAGGCAATGGTGATCAGGCTTCAGTGACTGGTTCGCACGAAGCCTCGAACGATGACCCTGTACCTATCCTGGTCGTGTAGATCAGTGGACCCACCTGTCAGGACCACCCAGTGAGGTAGCGCCAAGAAAGCTGTAACTTGCTGCGCACACCAGCACTCGAGCAGTTCAGGACCATCCGATCTACAATAACCGACATCAATCAGCATTTCATCACTCTCGAAGTGACGTGCAACATTAGACCGTCCAGATTACTTTGTGGAATATCTCTAAGTTGTATATTGCCGTGTGTATTCCTTCCGTGGATTAATTTGGTAGACTGTCTCATTTGTAAGACAGTATTTTGTGCAGTTACTCGAATTCCTGTAAGGTTTTTTTAAAATAATCAAACTGTCTGTGTGGCCACTTGACGACAATCTGTTGTTAATTCAGATATGAAGAGCACTCGTTCACCCAGTTTGCCAACTCGCACCCAGCAATTTTATCTTCAACACGTGTTGACTCGTCACAAACATGTTCGTCAACCCTCTTAGATTTTATCCGGATTAGAATGTATCGCAACAATTTACTTTCAACTACTGAGGATCTAATATGGCCGGATTATTCTGAATTATCGGATTCCGGTGCTTGCGGCGTCTCCAGTTCACAAATATCGTCCAGCTGTAACACCCTTCCGGTGTCATACTACCTGAAGAAAGTACGAGGGCCGGGATACTGTCAGGTTGCCCAAGCCTAGACGGGTGAAGTCGAGAGTCAAATGTCGGGTTCGAACCACGGACCTTCTGGTCAGTGAATTCGCGCTCTAAGCACTTGAGCCATCTCTCCCCAGTTCATACCTCTGGTCCGTAGTTGACCCGACATGCGCGAACTGCTTCAGCAGAGCCTGGCTACTAAAAAGGTATCACCTTCGGCAGACCTACACAACGTAGGCGTATGTGGTTGTGTCAGGGCTGTATGGACGGCATCCACTGCAGATTCGCCTGTCCCGTCAAATTATGAGGGTGGGCCCAAGCGTCTTTCGCCGAGGACGTGCTTTTTTGGAAACTACTGCCCCGAATGCGTCATGGAACACTTTTTTGGATGAAGGACGACCATATTGTGAAATTGGAAACAGGTGATAGTACATCATTGACGCTGCGCAAAGTCCATCTCGAAAGAGGCATCCTCGAAAGTTTTTCGGAATGTTCTCCCGTGCAACACGGTCGAAAACCCGCGTTAAATCTTTCATGCTTAATTTATAGTGGAGGTGTAACTTCAGTCTGTTCGTCGATTTCCTTTTGAACGCCCGTTTTTTACGTGAGATCGTTGAAATGTGGGACATTCTGTTATAATGTCACAAACGAGACTAAAAATTTGCTAACATTTGTTGATTGCGGAACTTTTTTGTGGAATTTCTCTCAGTTTGTGCTTGTTGCGTTGTGTCATCCATGACTAATTTAGGAGAAACGTAAAGCCCCAAGGTGCGCTGATATCGTCTATCTACTGGAATTTTGTTGTCATTAGAAACTATTTGGAGAAGGACAGTGATACCTGTAAACGGATATTTAGGCCACTGAGAGAAAGTTGCATCAGTGAGCGTCAACAAAAGGGAGGACAAATGAGACAACTAGACTAGATTAGCGAATATACACTCGTTTGCAAACTAATTTGGTTTTTCGAGAGACTCAACTGGAACATCACAAACGAGAGATTCAGCTGGGTTCCAGGTGAGTCTCTCAGAAAACCAAATTAGTTCGCTAATGAGTGTATATTCGCTAATTTCGTGCAATTCGGTTTCAAGTAGAACATAAGGTTGATGGAAACCCAGGGGCTGCGCCTACTTGATGAGTCCCAAAAAGGGCAAAACCGGTCGTGGACTGTCGACGGATTTTCAGCAACCTTATGAGTAGTACATCACAACTAAACCAGATGTTGTACGACACTGACATGTGCAGGGACCTTAGAGATCGGGACTGGTCTTCAACGACTGAAATGATCAAAACGATCCAATGATTTCAGAAGCGTTTGGTAAACCCACCGATTATCACTAAACCCTTCTTCAACGATGACTACTCAGTCGGTTCGTAACTTCTCCACTTGACACCTATTGTGTGACCGGACTAAAGCGGCTTTAGGAAGTTTCAAGAGAATATAACGCATAAGCAGCTGTTAATGGGGCCTTTTAGCACACTTGCTACAGTCCTGGAAATCATGCGCTATTGCTTTCCACGTTCTTGGCTTTCTGTTCCCAAGTGATTAAAAGTTTGTCAACTGTAAAGTGCCAATGTACTAACTTGGCATACTTCTCCCTATCTTATGCTTTGCGTCCGCTAGATGAAAGAAATCGTTATACATACTACCATGAATACAGCCAAGAAACTGTGGGAAAAACCGTTAGTGTCACTGGCCTGACAAACCAAGATTCCGTTGTCGTCTCTTGATTTTCAACTGTATAAC